CATTATCCAGGATAGGCTGAAGCCAGAGCCTGGGGACGCGAATTTCGGCAATCTTAAAACTTATACAGTGCCCATATTAGCTAAGTATCTTATCTTTATTTGATGCATCTGGTAAAGTGTAGTGTAGTAGCTGGGTGATTGACCGTGATGACGCATGATAACACCAAACCACAGGTGATTGCTTATTATCACCTGTAACTCTTAAATTCTTGAATATAGAGATTCAGTAGTTTAATTAGTTGCTACTGTAAATATTTGTCTTGCAGCACGTGAGAAGAATTCTCCCTGCCGCCTTCTCCCATGTTAATCCATCCCATTCGTCAGCCAGCCGAGCCCAGGGAATTAGAGGAAGCGTCGTGGCTTACATAAAGGAATCGTCTTTAAGCTAAGATTCTTTGTATTCATTCATGAACTTTCTGAATTACTTACATGCAGAATTCCTCAGGATTAACATGTGTTTATTGTGACTATCATTATTATACTTATAATCTATGTTCCCATTTATGGTAATGACATTAGTTTCACTATAATTCATAGGATTAGCTTATTATAATTTGGATTAGTGAACGAACCACACTAGTTCCTGGATGTACTGACTTCCAGTAATAACCCCCCAATGTAGGTGTTTGAGGGTTTGATTCATTTAATTATACAGCCCATTAATTATTTCTATGATCATATTCTCTAGTATTTTATCCACAGTTACTGGTTCATCTAGAAATTGTCTAATGATCAGAAATTCTCAGTTTCCGTCTTTACTATAAAAGCGGGTGATCCTTTGTAATTTAATTTACTACATTAACATTTAAATAATCAGATTCAAGCCCCAAATGTCCCACAGGGAGGTCCCCTCACAGTGACCAGGTGCAGGGAGGTCCCCTCACAGTGACCAAGTGCAGGGAGGTCCCCTCACAGTGACCAGGTGCAGGGAGGTCCCCTCACAGTGACCAGGTGCAGGGAGGTCCCCTCACAGTGACCAGGTGCAGGGAGGTCCCCTCACAGTGACCAGGTGCAGGGAGGTCCCCTCACAGTGACCAGGTGCAGGGAGGTCCCCTCATAGTGACCAGGTGCAGAGAGGTCCCCTCACAGTGACCAGGTGCAGAGAGGTCCCCTCACAGTGACCAGGTGCAGGGAGGTCCCTTCACAGTGACCAGGTGCAGGGAGGTCCCCTCACAGTGACCAGGTGCAGGGAGGTCCCCCTCACAGTGACCAGGTGCAGGGAGGTCCCCTCACAGTGACCAGATGCAGGGAGGTCCCCTCACAGTGACCAGGTGTTGGAAGACACTGTCCCCTTCAGTCACCAGGTGTTGAAGGACACTGTCCCCCCCTCACAGTGACCAGGTGTTGGAAGACACTGTTCCTTTACAGTCACCAGGTGTTGAAGGACACTGTCCCCCCTCACAGTGACCAGGTGTTGGAAGATACTGTCCCCTCACAGTCACCAGGTGTTGGAAGACACTGTCCCCCTCAGTCACCAGGTGTTGAAGGACACTGTCCCTCCCCCCTCTCACAGTGACCAGGTGTTGGAAGATACTGTCCCCTCACAGTCAACAGGTGTTGGAAGATACTGTCCCCTCACAGTCACCAGGTGTTGGAAGACACTGTCCCGTCACAGTGACCAGGTGTTGGAATACACTGTCCCCCCCCCCCCTCACAGATCTGGGAGTTGTTCTAGTCACCATATTGTACCTGGGAGGGGTTCTGGGAGTTGTTCTACTCCCCATACTCGGCCTGGAACCAGGCTTGCTTGTGAGAGCTTGGTCCAGGCTTGGAGCGGTCCGCAGGCCCACATATCCACCACAGCCCGGCTGGTCCGGCACTTCCCATGTTGACATAGGTATACATCTTTTCAGAGAAGTAGAGCTGGTAGACTCGTGCGTAAATTAGGTATTGATCGCCGGATACTAATGACGGTGGTGATCCTATTACTGCCACGGTGGCTGCAGTGTAAGGTTACTGTGGCAGTAAAGTTACTGTGTCACTTGCGTTATGTATCGTCATTCCCTTTTGCTTTTTATGCATGTAGTGTGAATTAATACTATATCAGACATCACCTTTTTTTTCCTAAACCCGAATGATATCCTTATGTCTTGTGCCCCAAATCTCTACTTAATGTTGTTACAGCCTTCATACATATATCCTAGTTTTTAAAACCCGTTCATAAGATCAACTGAAAAAAATAAAAAAAAACATTAAACAAATCATTGATTATTGTGTCAATGATACACTCTGCCCTCAAAGAGTTGAGTTCATCACAAAGAAGCACAAGGCTTTACACTTTGAACAATTGGTTATGTGATGTATTGTTGACAGCTTCTGTGAAAATGTCTAATCACCGATGAAGGTCGTGATAGTTTCCTGAGGCGCCGTTAAATACTGAATTTGTCATTATTATTATTATTATTATTATTATTATTATTATTATTATTATTATTATTATTATTATTATTATTATTATTATTATTATTATTATTCGGGAACATTTCACACGTGATAGTTTCAATGTGAGTCTGACCAAAGGGGAGGAAAATAAAAGATAAATTCCTGCTTTGGTATTACAGGAGAAGCACAAAAATTCGTGAAGAGTTAACGCATTTTTGAACAAATGTCTGAACTTCAAGGAATCATTTTGAAAAGTTTCAGGAGATACTGTCTAGTTTTGGGGAACAATTTCGGGTATTATTAAGGTGTTATAACCAGAACGTACGTTCACTTGCACAGGTGCAAAGATAGCACAACAGGGTGCTCAGTGCTCAATATATACCGGACAAACTAGTGTATTAATGATAGCATTGTGCACTAATACAGTTTCCCATAGTCAAGAACATAAAGTTTTTCTCGAGTTTTTTCCCTAGGTCCTAGGGAGCAACTACTAACTTTGCCCAAAATGCTACCCAAAACAGTTTATTAAAACAAAAAAATGTGCTCAAAGATCTCTATCCTACCGAGGGAGTCGAACCCGGGACCATAGGGTTGTAATGTACCCATATAGCGTACGAACGTTCCGGTATCAAACACGTAGAGTTTGTCGTGATTCAGGTCACATAAAAACCCACATATATGTTTGTGTTTCTTTGCAATATGTATATCACAATAATTTACAGAGACGTCAACTATTCAGCAACTGAAAGCCTCGGCTCTGAAACTCTCGAGCAGGCGAAATACGGTGTCCATTAGGGCCCCAGAACATGATACATAACACTCAGTTAAAGCTTTGCAGACAGACCAGAGTACCCACAGACAAATTCAATACAAAACAAAATTCTCCTTTGCTAGCAATATTGCGCCTTTACTGGCAACGCTGCGCCTTTCCTCGCAATTATGCTCCGTGCCTAGGAATGCTGCACCTTTGCCAGCAATGCTGAATCTTTTCTAGCAATTTTGCTTCTTTCCTGCACGCTGCACATTCCCTTGCATTCCTATACCTTTTCTGACCTTGCACACACGCACCTTACCTTGCAATGCTTTGCCTTTTCTTACACTGTTGCGTATACCCTTGTAATGCTGCGCCTTGTCTTGCAATGCTACATATTTCCTCGCAATACTGCACCTTTTCTCATAATGCTGCGCCCTTTCCTTGTAACGGTGCAGCTTTCTCCCGACAGTGTGTTCTCGGCGCTCCTTCACAGACGTCTAGATGGACAAAGCCTGGCTAATCCTGCGTGCTCACGACGTAGACTTAGCGTCAGCGTCCCATCACATTGCGACGTCACGACGTCCCTCAGACGTTATTCTGTCGTCTATTCAAGTCCGGGTGTCGTGGGGTTCAGAGAACTCTAGAATCTTACCGAGGTTGTGGTGCTATACTCACTATGCTACTGGACACCCACAGACAATACACATAGAAATCACAATAGCGTGATGCATCAAATGAACAAATCCACAGGGGAATTTGTCCCTTGTAGATTTCCACTGACTTGTGAAGTCAGTGGAATTCCCGGTTTCAATTCTTTTGACCATATCGTGGCCTAGTCGACTAAGGCAGCGTCTGGGATTATCCCGGGCGTAAGTTCGAACCCTCGTCACGGCCCTTGTGGATTTGTTCACCCATAGACCATTTTTTTTTAACCTCGAAGTACTTCGGGCGTTCTTTAACCAATGAGGGAAGGGGCGGGCGAGAGGATGGCTCTTCGCCCATACCACAACTAACAAAGTAATAAGATGAGAACAACTAAGAAGCTAAACTGTGTTTACACTTAACTAGTACAGACATTATTATTTAGAAGATATGACTCTCCGAGCACAATAACCCCAACGTAACGACAACTTTGTAGCAACGTTTGTAACGGTCTTGCAGCATACTGTTGTTGATGTTGCAGCATAATGTTGTTGATGTTGCAGCATAATGTTGCGTGTTCACTGGGCTCCAACTTCTTCACTCCTCGGCAAGTTTTTTTTTTTTTTTTTTTTTTTTTTTTTTGTGTGTGTGTGTGTACTCACCTAATACTCACCTAATTGTGCTTGCGTGTGTGTGTGTGTGTGTGCGTGTGCGTGTGCGTGTGCGTGTGCGTGTGCGTGTGTGTGTGTGTGTGTGTGTAACTGTTCAGAAGCACGACTGTCCCTGCCCATCAGACTGTTGCCAATTGAGGTCAGTGGATTTTGGACTTCGCAGACTGCGGAAGCCGCCTGGCGCCCAGACAGTTGCAGATGTTGAATGTGCAATTGAAAACATGGATGCTCATCAATTTGCGTTCAGTGAATGATTAACTGAAGCCCGTGGATGGCTGAGCACTCTCCTGACACCAGTATGTCTACACCAGTGCTGTGTACACTGGCGTGGCTCCACGCTACACCCAGTATACTCTCCGCTCCAGGCTAGACATGGTCTCTCATCACTGGTTATTCCTGGTCACTTCTGCCTCTAGCCCGTTAGCCCTGCCATCCATCCCTGAGCGTCGTGTACCTATCCCAGCACACAAGACCCGTGCTGGGGGAGGCAATAAAATGTACTCTGTAACTCGGAGCGCAATACTGCCTCTCTGGTAGGAGGTCCAGGCAATATGTCTTCCGGAACACTAAAGTGCTGGCATCTTACACCTGGCACTGCCCACGCTGCCGTCGGTGTTGTTGATCATCGTACACCTGGCACTCCCCACGCTGCCGTCGGTGTTGTTGATCATCGTACACCTGGCACTGTCCACGCTGCCGTTATTGTTGTTGATCATCGTACACCTGGCACTGCCCACGCTGCCGTCGGTGTTGTTGATCATCATACACCTGGCACTGTCCACGCTGCCGTTATTGTTGTTGATCATCGTACACCTGGCACTGCCCACGCTGCCGTCGGTGTTGTTGATCATCGTACACCTGGCACTCCCCACGCTGCCGTCGTTGTTGTTGATCATCGTACACCTGGCACTGTCCACGCTGCCGTTATTGTTGTTGATCATCGTACACCTGGCACTGCCCACGCTGCCATCGGTGTTGTTGATCATTGTACACCTGGCAATGTCCATGCTGCCGTTATTGTTGTTGATCATCGTACACCTGGCACTGTCCACGCTGCCGTCGGTGTTGTTGATCATCGTACACCTGGCACTCCCCACGCTGCCATCGGTGTTGTTGATCATCGTACACCTGGCACTCCCCACGCTGCCGTCGTTGTTGTTGGTTGTCGTACACCTGGCACTGCCCACGCTGCCGTCGGTGTTGTTGATCATCGTACACCTGGCACTGTCCACGCTGCCATCAGTGTTGTTGATCATCGTACACCTGGCACTGTCCACGCTGCCGTCGGTGTTGGTGATCATTGTACACCTGGCACTGTCCCCGCTGCCGTCGGTGTTGGTGATCATCGTACACCTGGCACTGTCCATGCTGCCGTCGGTGTTGGTGATCATCGTACACCTGGCACTGTCCACGCTGCCGTCGGTGTTGGTGATCATCGTACACCTGGCACTGTCCACGCTGCCGTCGGTGTTGGTGATCATCGTACACCTGGCACAGTCCATGCTGCCGTCGGTGTTGGTGATCATCGTACACCTGGCACTCCCCACGCTGCCGTCGGTGTTGGTGATCATCGTACACCTGGCACTACCGCAGTACCTTGTGCGCTGTAAATTTCTTATGTATACGGACAGTAAATCGTAATATCGAGGCTGAAAGTTAGAGAGGCAACTCACTCATCTAAAATACCTCAATATAAGCCTAACATATACATATAAGCTGGCTGCTTGTCCCACGACACAATAAATTATAACCCCTCTCTAATTATAAGCGATGCATTTTCAATTTCTCCAAATAAATCCTCAGAATCAGATATCTTAAACTAGGGACAGATGACTCCTAAATAAGTTATCATTAATAATGTAATAATTTGTTAAAATAAATGAGCTGTATTTGTCATGATACGAACGTCGTGTCATAAGGAACCTTTCTGTTTTTGTTATGCAGTGGGTATATTGCTTTTGGTGCAAGCGAAAATTATACATGTGCAACCAATTATAAATATTGTTTTAACATTTTTTTTAATCGAATTATTAGTACACCTATTTCTGGCACTGTCAGAATTATTCTGTTTGTCGTTGTGTGTAGACTGAAGGTTTGTTTTGGTCCTCGACTATGTATAGGACTATAGTATACTGGCTGGTGGTACTCTCCCTGGGGATACTCTCCCTGGTGGTACTCTCCCTGGTGGTACTCTCCCTGGTGGTACTCTCCCTGGTGGTACTCTCCCTGGGGATACTCTCCCTGGTGGTACTCTCTCTGGTGGTACTCTCCCTGGTGGTACGCTCCCTGGTGGTACTCTCCCCGGGGGTACTCTCCCTGGTGGTACTCTCCCTGGTGGTACTCTCCCTGGTGGTACTCTCCCTGGTGGTACTCTCCCTGGTGGTACTCTCCCTGGTGGTACTCTCCCTGGTGGTACTCTTCCTGGTGGTACTCTCCCTGGGGATACTCTCCCTGGGGATTCTCTCCCTGGTGGTACTCTCCCTGGTGGTACTCTTCCTGGTGGTACTCTCCCTGGGGATACTCCCCCTGGTGGTACTCTCCCTGGTGGTACTCTCCCTGGTGGTTCTCTCCCTGGGGATACTCTCCTTGGTGGTACTCTCCCTGGTGGTACTCTCCCCGGTGGTACTCTCCCTGGGGATACTCTCCCTGGTGGTACTCTCCTTGGTGGTACTCTCCCTGGGGATACTCTCCCTGGTGGTACTCTCCCCGGTGGTACTCTCTCTGGTGGTACTCTCCCTGGTGGTACTCTCCCTGGGGATACTCTCCCTGGTGGTACTCTCCCTGGTGGTACTCTCCCTGGGTGTACTCTCCCTGGTGGTACTCTCCCTGGTGGTACTCTCCCTGGTGGTACTCTCCCTGGTAGTACTCTCCCTATGTGTACTCTCCCTGGTGGTACTCTCCCTGGGGATACTCTCCCCGGTGGTACTCTCCCTGGGGATACTCTCCCTGGTGGTACTCTCCCTGGGGATACTCTCCCTGGTGGTACTCTCCCTGGTGGTACTCTCTCTGGGTGTACTCTCCCTGGTGGAACTCTCCCTGGTGGTACTCTCCCTGGTGGTACTCTCCCTGGGGATACTCTCCCTGGTGGTACTCTCTCTGGGGATACTCTCCCTGGTAAATACATCATCCCTCTGCTTTCATAGCAGACATTCAACCCGTGGATTAATGCCTCTTCAGGTATATCTTACATTTTCCCTCCACTTTCTCCCCTCTCCCTTATCTCTCGCTTCTTCAACTCTGTTCTTCCCCTCAGTTCTTCCCCTTAACTCTTCCTCTCATTCCCTTGCTTCTCTCCCCTCCCGCAAGAGCTCTTACGTCTGACTGACATTCAGCAGGGAGCTCTCCCCTCACGAGCCGGGAGCCGGCCCGCTTCCCCTCACGAGCCGGGAGCCGGCCCGCTTCCCCTCACGAGCCGGGAGCCGGCCCGCTTCCCCTCACGAGCCGGGAGCCGGCCCGCTTCCCCTCACGAGCCGGGAGCCGGCCCGTTTCCCCTCAGGAGCCGGGAACCGGGCCGCTCGCCCTCACGAGCCGGGAGCCGGGCAGCTCCCCCTCAGGAGCCGGGAACCGGGCCGCTCCCCCTCACCTTAAGAGAACCTTCACCAAGCATCAGCGCTTTTCTCATAGTGATGGACTGCTGTGCTGACCTCTGGAGTGCCATCAGTGCCACAGTAGCCTCACATCTCTGTATCCCACACTAGTGCTGTACCGGTGTGCTGCACAGCTCTGCTGCACCAGTAAGCTGCATCCCACACTAGTGCTGTACCGCTGTGCTGCATACATCTGCTGCACCAGTAAGCTGTATCCCACACTAGTGCTGTACCGCTGTGCTGCATACCTCTGCTGCACCAGTAAGCTGCATCCCACACTAGTGCTGTACCGCTGTGCTGCATACCTCTGCTGCACCAGTAAGCTGCATCCCACACTAGTGCTGTACCGCTGTGCTGCATACCTCTGCTGCACCAGTAAGCTGCATGGTTATGCTTGATAGGTATGATGCATTGCTATGCTTCACCTATGTGGTTATGCTACACTTCGTCTATGTGCTGTGTATAGCACCTTGTGGTTGAGTGGTTATCTTCACACTATACCCGCTTCTACTACCACACCATCTTCATCTTCACCAACACATTATCTCCCCATATCCCCTTATCACAGTTACCCTTTACACTACACACTATCTACATCACTGTAATCGGATATTTGTACCAGGAACATAAATCTGGCACCTGAACGTTCGTTTTACATGTCAATGTCTGAATACACAAATATTTAAATGAATGCTGAGTTCTTCGGAGTTGCACATTTCATATCCCCCGACTTCGTGAAGGGAGTGCAGAGGCCGATGTTTCTTTAAGAGTGGCATATGGGCCGACCCCGACCATCTTATGAGGCTGTCCAAAAATCACTATGTAAGCTTGCGGGAGGCTAGACCAGAGACTTGTCTTTGGTCAACCTTGGACAAACAGACTGCCCAAGTCTCTTGCTATCAGTCTTTCTCTCACTTTCTCCCCCTCTCTCCCTCTCTCCCTTCCTCCCTCCCTCCATCCCTCCATCCCATTCTTCCTACCTCACAGTCTCTTCCTTTCCCTTTTTTCCTCCTCCCGTTCTCTCTCTCTCTCTCTCTCCCAGGGGGCAAAACTTGCTTGAGTAACTATGAATCGACATCATCGACGATGATTCACCCGTGGTAACCGCATTTTGACCCTAACCTATGACACTCCCCATACAATCACCATTCACCCTGCAAAGCTGTGCGAGACAAACCCTCAACCCTGTGGCCTCCAACCAAGATCAGACAGACCTTCTATGTTATAGATACAGCTATACAAATGTGTGTATAATAATATACAATATGAAATACAATTGTGTGTGTGCGTGTGTGTGTGTGCGTGTGTGTGTGTGTGTGTGTGTGTGTGTGTGTGTGTGTGTGTGTGTGTGTGTGTGTGTGTGTGTGTGTGCAATCACCTAGTTATGTTTGCAGGGGTTGAGCTCTGGCTCTTTGGTCCCGCCTCTCAACCGTCAATCAACAGGTGTACAGATTCCTGAGCCTATAGGGCTCTATCATATCTACACTTGAAACTGTGTATGGAGTCAGCCTCCACCACATCCCTTCCTAATGCATTCCATTTGTCAACCACTCTCACACTAAAAAAGTTCCTTCTAATATCTCTGTGGCTCATTTGGGCACTCAGTTTCCACCTGTGTCCCCTTGTGCGTGTTCCCCTTGTGTTAAATAGACTGTCTTTATCTACCCTATCAATTCCCTTCAGAATCTTGAATGTGGTGATCATGTCCCCCCTAACTCTTCTGTCTTCTAGCGAAGTGAGGTTTAATTCCCGTAGTCTCTCCTCGTAGCTCATACCTCTCAGCTCGGGTACTAGTCTGGTGGCAAACCTTTGAACCTTTTCCAGTTTAGTCTTATCCTTGACTAGATATGGACTCCATGCTGGGGCTGCATACTCCAGGATAGGCCTGACATATGTGGTATACAAAGTTCTAAATGGTTCTTTACACAAGTTTCTGAATGCCGTTCCTATGTTGGCCAGCCTGGCATATGCCGCTGATGTTATCCGCTTGATATTTTCTGCAGGAGACAGGTCTGGCATGATATCAACCCCCAAGTCTTTTTCCTTCTCTGACTCCTGAAGAATTTCCTCTCCCAGATGATACCTTTTATCTGGCCTCCTGCTCCCTACACCTATCTTCATTATATTACATTTGGTTGGGTTAAACTCTAACAACCGTTTGTTCGACCATTCCTTCAGCTTGTCTAGGTCTTCTTGAGGCCTCAAACCGTCCTCTTCTGTTTTAATCCTTCTCATAATTTTAGCATCGTCCGCAAACATTGAGAAAAATGAATCGATACCCTCTGGGAGATCATTTACATATATCAGAAACAAGATAGGACCGAGTACAGAGCCCTATGGGACTCCACTGGAGACTTCACGCCAATCGGAGGTCTCACCCCTCACCGTAACTCTCTGCTTTCTATTGCTTAGATACTCCCTTATCCACTGGAGGACCTTACCAGCTACACCTGCCTGTCTCTCCAGCTTATGTACAAGCCTCTTATGCGGTACTGTGTCAAAGGCTTTCCGACAATCCAAGAAAATGCAGTCCGCCCAGCCCTCTCTTTCTTGCTTAATCTTTGTCACCTGATCGTAGAATTCTATTAAGCCTGTAAGGCAAGATTTACCCTCCCTGAACCCATGTTGGCGATTTGTCACGAAGTCCCTTCTCTCCAAATATGTTACCAGGTTTTTTCTCACGATCTTCTCCATCACCTTGCATGGTATACAAGTCAAGGACACTGGCCTGTAGTTCAGTGCCTCTTGCCTGTCGCCCTTTTTGTATATTGGGACCACATTCGCCGTCTTCCATATTTCTGGTAGGTCTCCCGTCTTCAGTGACTTACTATACACTATGGAGAGTGGCAAGCATAGTGCCTCTGCACACTCTTTCAGTATCCATGGTGAAATCCCATCTGGACCAACAGCCTTTCTAACATCCAGATCCAGCAGGTGTCTCTTGACCTCCTCTCTCATAATTTCGAACTCTTCCAAGGCCGCCTGGTTTACCTCCCTTTCTCCTAGCACAGTGACCTCACCTT